GGTGGAGTGACTCACCCATCATAGTGGTGGAGTGACTCACCCACCACAGTGGTGGAGTGACTCACCCATCATAGTGGTGGAGTGACTCACCCACCACAGTGGTGGAGTGACTCACCCATCATAGTGGTGGAGTGACTCACTCACCACAGTGGTGGAGTGACTCACCCATCATAGTGGTGGAGTGACTCACCCACCACAGTGGTGGAGTGACTCACCCATCATAGTGGTGGAGTGACTCACCCACCACAGTGGTGGAGTGACTCACCCATCATAGTGGTGGAGTGACTCACCCACCACAGTGGTGGAGTGACTCACCCATCATAGTGGTGGAGTGACTCACCCATCATAGTGGTGGAGTGACTCACCCATCATAGTGGTGGAGTGACTCACCCATCATAGTGGTGGAGTGACTCACCCACCACAGTGGTGGAGTGACTCACCCATCATAGTGGTGGAGTGACTCACCCACCACAGTGGTGGAGTGACTCACCCATCATAGTGGTGGAGTGACTCACCCATCATAGTGGTGGAGTGACTCACCCATCATAGTGGTGGAGTGACTCACCCATCATAGTGGTGGAGTGACTCACCCATCATAGTGGTGGAGTGACTCACCCATCATAGTGGTGGAGTGACTCACCCATCATAGTGGTGGAGTGACTCACCCACCACAGTGGCAGTGACTCACCCACCACAGTGGCAGTGACTCACCCACCACAGTGGCAGTGACTCACCCACCACAGTAGCAGTGACTCACCCACCACAGTAGCAGTGACTCACCCACCACAGTGGTGGAGTAACTCACCCACCACAGTAGCAGTGACTCACCCACCACAGTGGTGGAGTAACTCACCCACCACAGTAGCAGTAACTCACCCACCACAGTGGCAGTGACTCACCCACCACAGTGGTGGAGTAACTCGCCCACCACAGTGGCAGTGACTCACCCACCACAGTAGCAGTGACTCACCCACCACAGTGGCAGTGACTCACCCACCACAGTGGTGGAGTGACTCACCCACCACAGTGGCAGTAACTCACCCACCACAGTAGCAGTGACTCACCCACCACAGTGGTGGAGTAACTCGCCCACCACAGTGGCAGTGACTCACCCACCACAGTAGCAGTGACTCACCCACCACAGTGGTGGAGTAACTCACCCACCACAGTGGCAGTGACTCACCCACCACAGTAGCAGTGACTCACCCACCACAGTGGCAGTGACTCACTCACCACAGTGGTGGAGTAACTCACCCACCACAGTAACAGTGACTCACCCACCACAGTGGTGGAGTAACTCACCCACCACAGTAGCAGTAACTCACCCACCACAGTGGCAGTGACTCACCCACCACAGTGGTGGAGTGACTCACCCACCACAGTAGCAGTAACTCACCCACCACAGTAGCAGTGACTCACCCACCACAGTAGCAGTAACTCACCCACCACAGTAGCAGTAACTCACCCACCACAGTAGCAGTGACTCACCCACCACAGTAGCAGTGACTCACCCACCACAGTAGCAGTGACTCACCCACCACAGTAGCAGTGACTCACTCACCACAGTGGTGGAGTAACTCACCCACCACAGTAGCAGTGACTCACCCACCACAGTGGTGGAGTAACTCACCCACCACAGTAGCAGTGACTCACCCACCACAGTAGCAGTGACTCACCCACCACAGTAGCAGTGACTCACTCACCACAGTGGTGGAGTAACTCACCCACCACAGTAGCAGTGACTCACCCACCACAGTAGCAGTGACTCACCCACCACAGTAGCAGTAACTCACCCACCACAGTAGCAGTGACTCACCCACCACAGTAGCAGTGACTCACACCAGAAGATAACCAACACACAATCGCCCCTAAAATTTATTGATTGTGTAAAACTCTGCAGAAATAAACAATTAAGACACTAACAGATTAAACAAATTAACAATAGACAATAAAGGAGGGAAATATATAAGAGCCGAAAACATTTAAGCCGCTACCAAAGAATCAAATTAAGCTAACGTTTATAGCTTTAGCTTTAGCGTGGAAGGGGGGTTTATAAAGCCTAATCTACAACACGGAAGAATACATCTCAAATTTAAAGGGGAACAGAGAAGGTTTAGGCTTCTACATAATAAATCAAGATAAAGTTTGTTGCATGTAGAAAACTTTTTTTTAGTTTAATAAAAAAATATTAGATTTCAAGACGGAATTCAAAGGGATCAAAGAATGTTTAAGCATCTTTAGACTTAACACAAAAACACGTTAATGTTATTAAAAAACGTTAATGTTATCAAAATAAAACGTTATAAAAACGTTTTTAAGAAAGAACACAAAATATTTCAAGACGGAATCCAAAAATGAGAAGAAGTAGAAAGCATTTAAGCGCGTCTAGTTAGGCCGGTAGCATGAACAAAGATGCCAAGAAGCGAATAAAAGGGGGGGGGGGCTCTGACAAGCTAATAAAGAGAGATATAAAGAGCAGTCATAAAGGTGATTGTCTTGTTTACCTCTACTAAGCACTGGTCTACAGCACCGCATTTCAGTTGAGCATTGCCGCTGCTTCGCCGACTCGTCCGTGAGAATGAGGGAGGGAGGAGCAAGTAGTTTGCCAGTAAACACAGCGGCCAGTCGCAACAGGGGGGCGGTATATTTTGAACAGGACACAAGATAAAAACTTTCTAAAAAAAAAAAAACAGGTGACAGGAACACTCTAGGTAACACAGGCGGACTTGATAACACAGGAGATAACACGGAGAGGTTATATAATGAGAGAAGCGGGAGCTACGCACACTCCCACTACTCTTTATGTGTCTAGCCTAATGTCTTCTAGCCAGGGGCAAATTTTCCAGTCGTGTGGCTTCTGGCACTGGCTTCAGACATTCACAGTTATGCAACACCCGGACACTGTCCTCTGCTGCTTGAAGATATCTTCTCACCTAACCTTTAAATCGTTAACATCATTATTTAAACATAAAACATTAGGGATAAAAATATATATCAAAATCAAACAGAAAGAGGGGGTCAAAATGTTCCGGTTTATACAACGTTCAGGCTCCACAAACATGTGAAATGAACTAAACATGATCACATCATCCATAACTTTCAAGTAACCAGTCATCTTAACAAGCAGTATTTAATACGTTGCGAAACGATGTAATTCAAACTATGGTGCTAAGCTTTACCTATCGAGGACGTTTTATACGAGTAACAACTGGTGTTTAAAACTAGTTTAAAACTAGTTTTACAACTAGTTTAAAACACAAACACCCAGGATGGTTTTTACGTATATAAATCACTCAACCACCAAGGAAGTGGTATCAAATACCATATCAAATAATTCAATCACTAAACCAAGAATGTTTTTCTCATCTCAAAAGCACACCAAAACAGATAATATTACTTAACTATCGAAGAGCTTCTTTCCTATATTTCTTACCACAGGACCAAGATTCATCCACCCCGTAAGATGTACAGGTTTCGTAAGTGAAGGTAATTTTTGTTACCCGCAAATGCTTAAACAAAGCAGCCTATTGTTTTACAAATTAATTTATTTTAGGCTGTATTTACACAATTTTCACCCGCGCTCTCCCAATTACCCAACGGCCTATTTAAAGTGTTCACCAATTACTAAAACAGTCTCCAACTACTGCTCTGAGAGTTATATTATCTAAATAATTAACAGAGGGGCATATTAGTGAAAGTCTTGGGTCATTCACAGTTCCCTGTAACTGTGAATAACCAATTGTCAATGGAAACTTTACGTAAAGCCTATTGCCATAAAGCAACTTACAAACAGCTAGTGGCCAATGAAAACTTTACGAATAGAGGAGAATTTTCTCCAGAATTTTCAATGAACAACTGTACTGGCAAAATTAAATTAATATATTAATAGCTACATGAAAAGGTTTAAGGGAGACTTACACCTGACTAACCCATGGGCTAGACCTGACTCTCCAGGGCGTACACCTGACTGTTCTGGGAATATACACATGTCTTCACGGGTGTAGACACACATACAGGTGTGTGTATGTGTGCGTCTTGCCATGGCCATAGGTGGCCTCCCGGCTGAGTGGACAGCGCTCGGAGGTCGTAGTCCGAATGGCCCGGGTTCGATTCCCGGGAAATGGGCAGTTTCTTTCACCCTGTTGCCCCCTGTTCATCTAGCAGTAAATAGGTACCTGGGAGTTAGACAGCTGCTACGGGCTGCTTCGTGTGTGTGTGTTAGAAATAAATATAGAAAAATAGATTAGATAGAAAGGCGGGGTCCAAGAGCTAAATAGCTCCGTTCTGCAGACAAATAGTAAATACACACACACACACACACACTACATATAAACCAATTAACATCAGCGGCAATTGCTATGCATTTAACATGACATTTCAAATGACTGTAAATGTTTATTGCAATTAGAGTATTTTTATTTTTAATAATATCGAATTCATTTCTGTTATTAGTAGCAATTATTCTTAATGTAATTATCATAAATACTAATTATGTATTATATATATATATATATATATATATATATATATATATATATATATATATATATATATATATATATATATATATATATATATATCAGACGTCAGATCGCGGAGTTTTTATTAAGCACGAGTATGTTGGTTATACTTAACATGGTATATATGATATACACCAAGATACCTTGCGTGCGTTACATAATGGTAACCATTAGATACCAAACAAGCCTAATACTTGACCAACACCGCTGGCGCTTGAAGCCTATCCAACCTCCCTTAATGGTTCGATTCCCAGCTGACCAAGCCAAGCCACTAAACACGGTCCCACTCATTATTTTAACACTGCATTGTAACAATATTTTATACTACCAAACACTTAAACACTCAAACAGGCTGCCATCTTGCTTCTCCAGAATCCAGAAAAAATTGACCTCCTGCTTGGCCATCCAGAATGCTAGGCTACCAGTCACGGGAAAACATTCAGATAGACAGTTACAGTCACTGTATCTAGGGAACCATCCATGGGCCTAGCCACACCTCCAGGGAGCCAATCAGGGCCCGGAGGACTAGATATAACAGCATCAGCAGGGAACAAGCCACTCAATGAACGAATTGCTCAAGGTAACGAGATTGGAATATGTAATTTGGAAGGGCTGGTGGTACCTCCAGTGACACACACCACCCTACAGTGACACACACCACCCTACAGTGACCACACACCACCCTACAGTGACACACACCACCCTACAGTGACACACACCACCCTACAGTGACCACACACCACCCTACAGTGACACACACCACCCTACAGTGACACACACCACCCTACAGTGACCACACACAACCCTATAGTGACCACACACCACCCTACAGTGACACACACCACCCTACAGTGACCACACACCATCCTACAGTGACACACCACCCTACAGTGACCACACACCACCCTACAGTGACTACACACCACCCTAAAGTGACCACACACCACCCTACAGTGACCACACACCATCCTACAGTGACCACACACCACCCTACAGTGACCACACACCACCCTACAGTGACCACACACCACCCTACAGTGACCACACACCACCCTACAGTGACCACACACCATCCTACAGTGACCACACACCACCCTACAGTGACCACACACCACCCTACAGTGACCACACACCACCCTACAGTGACCACACACCATCCTACAGTGACACACACCACCTTACAGTGACCACACACCACCCTACAGTGACCACACACCATCCTACAGTGACCACACACCACCCTACAGTGACACACACCACCCTACAGTGACCACACACCACCCTACAGTGACCACACACCCTACAGTGACACACACCACCCTACAGTGACCACACACCCTACAGTGACCACACACCACCCTACAGTGACACACACCACCCTACAGTGACCACACACCCTACAGTGACACACACACCACCCTACAGTGACCACACACCACCCTACAGTGACACACACCACCCTACAGTGACACACACCACCCTACAGTGACACACACACACACCACCCTACAGTGACACACACCACCCTACAGTGACCACACACCACCCTACAGTGACCACACACCATCCTACAGTGACCACACACCACCCTACAGTGACGCACACCACCCTACAGTGACCACACACCACCCTACAGTGACCACACACCCTACAGTGACACACACACCACCCTACAGTGACCACACACCCTACACATCCACTGCAGTAATGTGTTTTTTAATAAAAAAAACACGTTTAAACTTTTGAAAATAATCGCATTGTACCTGTTAAATTATTTATCTGAACATATTCCCTTGAAAACTGGACTCCGACCTCAGCCCTACCCTCCACCGGGGAATGCGAACCCCCGTCCTTATGTTCGTGTCTTGAAGGTCGACCGTCATGCTTTCTGTCTACTGGTGTGAGAGGATGGGAGTGAATGGGTGAGTGTGTGTGTGTGTGTGTGTGTGTGTGTGTGTGTGTGTGTGTGTGTGTGTGTGTGTGTGTGTGTGTGTGTGTGTGTGTGTGTGTGTGTGTGTGTGTGTGTGTGTGTGTGTGTGTGTGTGTGTGTGTGTGTTCATCTAAATGTACTGACATAAATGTACTTTTAGGGTTGAGCGTAAGCTCCTCAGCCCCAGCTGTTATATACATTGTCCATAATCAAAATACAAAGTACAAAACACAATCAAATGTACCCGTAGTAGGAAAACAGCATGTCAAGGATTTGGGAATAATGATGTCCGACGATCTAACGTTTAGGGAGCATAACCAAGCAAATATTGCGTCAGCCAGAAAAATGATCGGATGGATTACGAGAACTTTCAAATCCAGGGATCCCATCACAATGGTTGTACTCTTCAAGTCACTTGTGTTGTCCCGTCTTGAGTACTGCTCAGTACTCACTTCCCCCTTCAGAGCAGGAGAGATTGCTGAAATAGAGGGAATACAGAGGACATATACGGCACGCATAGACGCGATAAAGCACCTAAATTATTGGGATCGTCTCAAAGCTCTCCAAATGTACTCACTAGAAAGGAGACGAGAGATATTATAATACACACATGGAAAGTACTTTGAAAGTAACAAAAGAAGGCACCAATCCTGGAAGAGGTACTGGGGGAATCTGGTCTCAAATCCACACAGTAAAATAACATACTGGCGTGAACGATTTGGAAGGAAATATATTCCTAAATTATATCCAGGACTAAAGTTTACTTACTGATTGGTCAGCGAACTATTGTCAGGGACTTAACAACCCTTCAGAGGCTGATAGGCCGTAAACCGGACTCCAAACCCGGTAACTATCTCAACAGGTTTGGTTATTAGCCCTAATACCGGCGGGGCAGCTTGAGGTTATCTTGAGGTTATCTTGAGATGATTTCGGGGCTTTTAGTGTCCCCGCGGCCCGGTCCTCGACCAGGCCTCCACCCCCAGGAAGCAGCCCGTGACAGCTGACTAACACCCAGGTACCTATTTTACTGCTAGGTAGCTGTCAAGGCCTGCCAGGTTCAGCACTGAGCATTGGTTGATAGATGAAGATTAAGCCACCCAAAAGGTGGCACGGGCATGAATAACCCGTAAATTGAACATTGTTCACCTGAGCCACCCAAAAGGTGGCACGGGCATGAATAACCCGTAAATTGAACATTGTTCACCTGTGCGCTTGTATACCTAGAGAACCTGGGTACACCTGGCGGTGTTTACACCCCATGTGACCCCGACTAGCTGCTACTATCATTACACTCCCTTAGTGACGTCACGCAACAGCTGTTTTATGTAAACATTGCAGCTGAAAGCGGAAATATTCTCAACCGACTGAACATTGTCCATGGAGTTTATTTACGTATCACCTCTCGTGTTTGTAGGGACCCTTAACCCCGAAGAAGAGGATAAGTAGCATCCGGGGGAGCCTTTTCCTCCATAGGGTAGTAGAGGCAGACCCCATACACTGGGGGAGGAGACAGACCCCATACACTGGGGGTGGAGACAGACCCCATACACTGGGGGGTGGAGACAGACCCCATACACTGGGGGTGGAGACAGACCCCATACACTGGGGGGTGGAGACAGACCCCATACACTGGGCGGGGCGCCTCACCGCGTGGGAAACCTAGCAACACCTCCGTCGGGTCTCTGTACACCCCGCGGCCCTGTCTCCATCTCCACCCCTGTGGACACCCGCCCCACAACTAGTGTCAACAACATGGTGATGGGGGAATTACTTTGTTCCACCTGTGTCACTATACCTCCCTCCTGCCTCACTGTAATCACTATATATGGTAGTGGAGGACAGTAAAGTTAGAGGAGACATGATCACCATATACAAGATTGACAGTTTAGAGACGGAACTATAGAGCCGAAGCTCAACCTCCGCAAGCACAACTAGGTGATCGATACACCCACCAGTACACACCAGTACACCACAGTACACCACAGTACACCACAGTACACAGTACAGGAGACCTGACAGCTTAGTGTCGAGAAGCTAAACCTAGAGAACAGTAAATAGACAGCCAATATGTGGGCCTAAGCTGGCTCCCAGCCGCTAGGGGGGCCACTCAGGGCCCTGGCTCCCAGCCGCTAGGGGGGCCACTCAGGGCGCTGGCTCCCAGCCGCTAGGGGGGCCACTCAGCGCCCTGGCTCCCAGCAGCTAGGGGGCCACTCAGGACCCTGGCTCCCAGCAGCTAGGGGGCCACTCAGGGCCGTGTCACAGGACATCCACCCCCCGTCAACCCCAGATGGAAATCTCCCGCCAAAATCCTTGTCACAAGCGCCCTCAGCTCGCCCAGGATTCCAACCCAAAATTTCACAACATCCGTCCGTCCGTTTTAGATATATTTTTGTACCAATTATACCCACGCACGCCGCACGCACGCATGGCCCTCACACACACACACACACACACCAGCCGCACGCAATGTGTGAGGGAGACCACAACGGACAAAATAGGGGGTGGTATAACGCCCTCACTCAAATGGCTCACCTAACCTAACCTAACCTAACCTAACCTAACTAACCTAACCTAACCTAACCTAACTAACCTAACCTAACTAACCTAACCTAACTAACCTAACCTAACTAACCTAACCTAACCTAACCTAACCTAACTAACCTAACCTAACTAACCTAACCTAACCTAACCTAACTAACCTAACCTAACCTAACCTAGCTAACCAAACCAAACCTAACCTAACCTAACCTAACTAACCTATGCATTTACAGTAGAACATATATAGATGAGTCGCTACTTTTTATAGTACCCCCTGGTGAGAGTACTCCCTGGTGAGAGTACCCCTAGTGAGAGTACCCCTGGTGAGAGTACCCCTAGTGAGAGTACCCCTAGTGAGAGTACCCCTAGTGAGAGTACTCCTAGTGAGAGTACTCCCTGGTGAGAGTACCCCTGGTGAGAGTACCCCTAGTGAGAGTACCCCTAGTGAGAGTACCCCTGGTGAGAGTACTCCCTGGTGAGAGTACCCCTAGTGAGAGTACCCCTAGTGAGAGTACTCCCTGGTGAGAGTACCCCTGGTGAGAGTACCCCTAGTGAGAGTACCCCTAGTGAGAGTACTCCCTGGTGAGAGTACCCCTAGTGAGAGTACTCCCTGGTGAGAGTACTCCCTGGTGAGAGTACCCCTAGTGAGAGTACCCCTAGTGAGAGTACCCCAAGTAACAGTACCCCTAGTGAGAGTACCCCTGGTGAGAGTACTCCCTAGTGAGAGTACCCCTAGTGAGAGTACCCCTAGTGAGAGTACTCCTAGTGAGAGTACTCCCTGGTGAGAGTACCCCTGGTGAGAGTACCCCTAGTGAGAGTACCCCTAGTGAGAGTACCCCTAGTGAGAGTACCCCTAGTGAGAGTACTCCTAGTGAGAGTACTCCCTGGTGAGAGTACCCCTGGTGAGAGTACCCCTAGTGAGAGTACCCCTAGTGAGAGTACCCCTGGTGAGAGTACTCCCTGGTGAGAGTACCCCTGGTGAGAGTACCCCAAGTAACAGTACCCCTAGTGAGAGTACCCCAAGTAATAGTACCCCTAGTGAGAGTACCCCTAGTGAGAGTACCCCTAGTGAGAGTACCCCTAGTGAGAGTACCCCAAGTAACAGTACCCCTAGTGAGAGTACCCCTGGTGAGAGTACTCCCTAGTGAGAGTACCCCTAGTGTGAGTACCCCCTAGTAACAGTACCCCTAGTGAGAGTACCCCTAGTGAGAGTACCCCTAGTAACAGTACCCCAAGAAACAGTACCCCTAGTGAGAGTACCCCAAGTAACAGTACCCCTAGTGAGAGTACCCCAAGTAACAGTACCCCTAGTGAGAGTACCCCTAGTGAGAGTACCCCTAGTGAGAGTACCCCAAGTAACAGTACCCCTAGTGAGAGTACCCCTAGTGAGAGTACCCCTAGTGAGAGTACCCCTAGTGAGAGTACCCCAAGTAACAGTACCCCTAGTGAGAGTACCCCAAGTAACAGTACCCCTAGTGAGAGTACCCCAAGTAACAGTACCCCTAGTGAGAGTACCCCTAGTGAGAGTACCCCTAGTGAGAGTACCCCAAGTAACAGTAAACCTAGTGAGAGTACCCCTAGTGAGAGTACCCCTAGTGAGAGTACCCCTAGTGAGAGTACCCCAAGTAACAGTACCCCTAGTGAGAGTACCCCAAGTAACAGTACCCCTAGTGAGAGTACCCCTAGTGAGAGTACCCCTAGTGAGAGTACCCCTAGTGAGAGTACCCCCCTAGTGAGAGTACCCCTAGTGAGAGTACCCCCCTAGTGAGAGTACCCCTAGTGAGAGTACCCCCCTAGTGAGAGTACCCCTAGTGAGAGTACCCCCCTAGTGAGAGTACCCCTAGTGAGAGTGCCCCCCTAGTGAGAGTACCCCTAGTGAGAGTACCCCCCTAGTGAGAGTACCCCTAGTGAGAGTACCCCCCTAGTGAGAGTACCCCTAGTGAGAGTACCCCCCTAGTGAGAGTACCCCTAGTGAGAGTACCCCCCTAGTGAGAGTACCCCTAGTGAGAGTACCCCTAGTAACAGTACCCCTAGTGAGAGTACCCCTGGTGATAACTAACGGAACACACCTGGTAAACACCTGTAAGTTAGCGCCAGGTATTAGCTAGTAATATCACCGTAGTTCAGTTACAGTTACGCCGTCAAACCACCCACGTCGTCAAACCGTCCACGCCGTCAAACCACCCACGCCGTCAAACCACCCACGCTGTCAAACCACCCACGTCGTCAAACCATCCACACCGTCAAACCCCCACGCCGCCAAACCATCCACGGCGTCAAACCATCCACGCCGTCAAACCACCCACGCCGTCAAACCACCCACGTCGTCAAACCATCCACGCCGTCAAACCACCCACGCCGTCAAACCATCCACGCCGTCAAACCATCCACGTCGTCAAACCATCCACGCCGTCAAACCACCCACGCCGTCAAACCATCCACGCCGTCAAACCATCCACGTCGTCAAACCATCCACGCCGTCAAACCACCCACGCCGTCAAACCATCCACGCCGTCAAACCATCCACGTCGTCAAACCATCCACGCCGTCAAACCCCCCACGCCGTCAAACCATCCACGCCGTCAAACCACCCACGTCGTCAAACCATCCACGCCGTCAAACCACCCACGCCGTCAAACCATCCACGCCGTCAAACCATCCACGCCGTCAAACCACCCACGTCGTCAAACCATCCACGCCGTCAAACCCCCCACGCCGTCAAACCACCCACGCCGTCAAACCACCCACGTCGTCAAACCATCCACGCCGTCAAACCACCCACGCCGTCAAACCGTCCACGCCATCAAACCGTCCATGCCGTCAAACCATTCACGACGCCAAACCACCCACGCCGTCAAACCATCTACGCCGTCAAACAATCCACGCCGTCAAACCATCCACGCCGTCAAACCATCCACGCCGTCAAACCATTCACGCCGTCAAACCGTCCACGCCGTCAAACCATCCACGCCGTCAAACCATTCACGCCGTCAAACCGTCAAACCATCAACGCCGTCAAACCATCCACGCCGTCAAACCATCCACGCCGTCAAACCATCCACGCCGTCAAACCATCCACGCCGTCAAACCGTCCACGCCGTCAAACCATCCACGCCGTCAAACCATCCACGCCGTCAAACCATCCACGCCGTCAAACCATGCACGCCGTCAAACCGTCCACGCCGTCAAACAATCCACGCCGTCAAACCATCCACGCCGTCAAACCTTCCACGCCGTCAAACCCCCCACGCCGTCAAACCATCCACGCCGTCAAACCATCCACGCCGTCAAACCCCCCACGCCGTCAAACCACCAAAGCCGCCAAACCATCCACGCCGCCAAACCATCCACGCCGTCAAACCATCCACGCCGTCAAACCATCCACACCGTCAAACCCCCACGCCGCCAAACCATCCACGCCGTCAAACCATCCACGCCGTCAAACCATCCACACCGTCAAACCCCCACGCCGCCAAACCATCCACGGCGTCAAACCATCCACGCCGTCAAACCACCCACGCCGTCAAACCATCCACGCCGTCAAACCACCCACGCCGTCAAACCACCCACGCCGTCAAACCATCCACACCGTCAAACCTCCCACGCCGTCAAACCATTCACGCCGTCAAACTCCCCACGCCGCCAAACCATCCACCCCGTCAAACCATCCACGCCGTCAAACCCCCCACGCCGCCAAACCATCCACGCCGCCAAACCATCCACGCCGCCAAGCCACCCACGCCGCCAAACCACCCACGCCGCCAAACCACCCACGCCGTCAAACCACCCACGCTGTCAACCCATCCACGCCGCCAAACCACCCACGCTGTCAACCCATCCACGCCGTCAAACCACCCACGCTGTCAACCCATCCACGCCGTCAAACCACCCACGCCGCCAAACCATCCACGCCGCCAAACCACCCACGCCGTCAAACCACCCACGCTGTCAAACCACCCACGCCGCCAAACCATCCACGCCGTCAACCCATCCACGCCGCCAAACCCCCCACGCTGTCAACCCATCCACGCCGTCAAACCATCCACGCCAAACCACCCACAACCTAACAACTAACAAATATGAGAAAAGTCAAGGCAACCCCAAACAGAATACAGCCGTCACTATGAACTAACCATAGCAGAGACTCAACTGAAATGGGATAAATGGACCCAAGAAAAAATAAAAATGGTAGTAGAATAATAGTGGATGTCGCTCTACATATTCACACTGACAGAGCTGCCAAGATTAATAGAGCATCCTGAAGCCTCTAAGGCCTATTGAGGAACAGTTATAAAATACTTTTGGATGACTAGGCCTACATGAAGACCAGGGGCCAGATTCACGAAATCACTTACGCAAGCACTTACGAACGTGTACATCTTTCCTCAATCTTTGACGGCTTTTGTTACATTTATTAAACAGTTTACAAGCATGAAAACTTGCCAATCAACTGTTGTTATTGTTATAAACAGCCTCCTGGTGCTTCGGAGCTCATTAACTGTTTAATAATTGTAAACAAAGCCGCCAAAGATTGAGAAAAGATGTACAGGTTCGTAAGTGCTTGCGTAAGTGCTTTCGTGAATCTGGCCCCAGAGGGACTTGGTCTCCCGGGACGTGCAGGCCAGCGCTATGTACCGCAGCGAAGGAATACAAAATAATTTGGTCATGAAATGGTGACATTTGTAGGCGAGATGGCGCCAACATGGCGACATGTTCTCGACATACTGGATGGCTTCACAACACTTCGCGCAAAATTAAATGAATTGTCAGGAAATAAAGAGAAACATAAGAGAAGGGAGAAGATGGCGGCTGTGAGGGGGTAGGCAGCAGGGAGGAAGTATTCCTCACCCTAGCGGTCCTCACCCAGCCTCATCCTCCGAATAGACAGTATGGGTCAACACAACACACTGATGCAACAGCGACGCAACACACTGATGCAACAGCGACGCAACACACTGATGCAGTAGAACACAACCAACCTCCAAATCGACAACTTCGTCTCCGAACATCAACAGGGATTCAGCGAATAAAAACCCTGCTTAACAAGCAAGTAATTATCAAAAGAAGGCCCCCCCCCCAAGCCCGGGAGACTATGTACCATCCTGCTTATCTACTGAGCTTTTAGACACAATGACAACAATCAAACAGGATAGAAGATTGAGGAGACTGCATCTTGCGTGTCATGAAGCTTGAGGCACTGAAGAAAAACTTAAGCTAGAGAAACAAGCTGATGTATTGGGAAGAGTTCCCACGTAGATTGAGGGAGTGCCTATCAGGAAGGCATCAAAGGGTGACTGTGACGGGACATATCAGAGAGAAGAACCATAAGGGTCGGTAGCCTACGAAGTCCGTCCTAATGTTTCCTAAAATTTTCCTGATATGTTGACCAGACCACACACTAGAAATTGAAGGGACGACGACGTTTCGGTCCGTCCTGGACCATTCTCAAGTCGATTGTGAATCGACTTGAGAATCAAAAAATCAGGAAATTTTCCTGATATTTGTCCATGACCAAACAGAAAATAGGCTCCTTCATGAAATGTTTGCTGCTGAGAGGGGGAAAAAATAGCTTTGTAATAAATTTACCAGTTACCTAAACACATTCCAGGGATAGCCCTCAAGAACTTAGACAAATGAACTTTCCGAACATATTAAACCGATTCAAGCGATGAGTCACAATAACGTGGCTGAATTATGTTGACCAGACCACACACTAGAAATTGAAGGGACGACGACGTTTCGGTCCGTCCTGGACCATTCTCAAGTCGATTGACGTAAATTAGAAATCGACTTGAGAATGGTCCAGGACGGACCGAAACGTCGTCGTCCCTTCAATTTCTAGTGTGTGGTCTGGTCAACATATTAAACCGATGTGAGACAAGAATGCAAACCCGAACACAAAAAAAATCTGAACATTTCAAAGAAATGCAAAGCAAGTGGTTCCAGAGCTAAGGGCCCTGAGCCACAAGGAACGACAAAGGGAACTGAACCTGGAGGAGAAGATGAACACGTTACCACAAGCAATATTCAAAGCCTAAGGCAACTGACCAACAGAACGGAGGAAAATGATAACGGTGACAAAGACGCCAGACAGCGCTCCATCGTGACGGATTACACAAAGCTGTAGTAGATAACTCGATACAATTATACACAAAATTATGATTAGAAAAACACGCGAACACAGTTATCGCATTAAATACTGAATGTTCAGTAGTCGGGGATCAAGAGCTGAAGCTCAACCTAGCAAAAACATACTTTCTTGGAGAGTTCAGGTGCGCACTCAACCACAAAACACACACACACACACACACATGGTAACCTGGTGGATAGCGCGCAGGACTCGTAATTCTGTGGCGCGGGTTCGATTCCCGCACGAGGCAGAAACAAATGGGCAAAGTTTCTTTCACCCTGAATGCCCCTGTTACCTAGCAGTAAATAGGTACCTGGAAGTTAGTCAGCTGTCACGGGCTGCTTCTTGGGGTGTGTGTGTGTGGTGTGGAAAAAAAAAGTAGTTAGTAAACAGTTGATTGACAGTTGAGAGGCGGGCCGAAAGAGCAAAGCTCAACCCCCGTAAACACAACTAGGTGAATACACACATACACTTATAAACTCGTATCACTGACAAACGTGACGGGCAAATCACTTACCAAAAAAATAGTTCAAACCAAATGGGTAGAATACTTGGAGAAATACTATAACAACAGTATAGTTTCAACACCAGAAGGTCCTGTGTAACAAACCTACTCAGTTTTTATGATACAGCGACGGGAGACATCTCCCGTCACGCAGGGTGCAGTCGCACCTCCACAGATCTCCAGTATCAGCTATTGATACTGGTAATGGCTCAAAAGGGCCACCCCTTACGGGCTATTCATGCCCGTGCCACCTTTTAGGTGGCTTAATCTTCATCAAACAATCAATGATACAGCCTCAACGATTTTACAGAATAAAGATGGTTGGGTTGACTGCGACACACTGGACACTTTTGACAGTCCCACGCAAGACGCTGTTTTGGAAACTGAACATGCTACAGGGCAGACTGCTAGAAAAAGAGGTGATATGATCACTACATACAAAATAGTAACAGGACTCTACAAAATTGACAAAGAGGAATTGTCGAAACCTGCAACTTTATGAACAAGAAGACATAGATTCAAGTTAAGGAAACAAAGGTACTGGCAAAATATAAGCAAATTCACTTTTGCAGAGTGGTAGACAACTGGAACAAGTTAAGTAGGGTGGTTATCTTGAGATATTTTGAGATGATTTCAGGGCTTTAGTGTCCCCGCGGCCCGGTCCTCGACCAGGCCTCCACCCCCAGAAAGCAGCCCATGACAGCTGACTAACACCCAGGTACATATTTTACTGCTAGGTAACAGGGGCATAGGGTGAAAGAAACTCTGCCCATTGTTTCTCTCCGGCGCCCGGGGTCGAACCCGGGACCACAGGATCACAAGTCCCACGTGCTGTCCGCTCGGAGGCCAAAACCGTCAGTAGTTTCAAAGCGACATACGACAAAGAGTAAAGGGAAGACGCGACACCATATTGTAACTACACTCGGGTAATTACACACAATATATATATATATATATATATATATATATATATATATATATATATATATATATATATATATATATATATATATATATATATATATACAATAATACACCAGCGCACGAAAAATTATTCAGTTGTCCTAGTCGGTACAGCGACTAGGTTCCCTTCTTGCAAGTTCAGCGTTCGATTCCCAATGATCCCAATGGTTAAACGCTGTTCTTTCGCTGTCCACATAACCAAGCTTGTCCTCATAACCCCTTAAGTGCTATATATTCATACTGGTTCAGCTCAGTCTCCTGATAATTAATTACCTTACCTGCGTACGAAAGCGTATGAACATCGTCACTTGCGCACTAACGCACATAAGCATTTACGAATATGCGTACACACGAACAAAGGCACATTCGTATGCTGGTCCTACAACGCGTTCATGCGTACACATGCGTACAAACAAGCACATTTAGGTGGCTACATACACCCACAGATGTGCATACGCACGCACACGCGCACAATTAAAATATAAATAACAGTTATTAAATAATAAAAATAAAACAAAACAAAAAACAAAAAAGGTGGAATTAGAGCAAATCCATAAAATTATATTGAGGTCATTTTTAAATTTTTAAATTTTTCAAGTACATGATGATAAATCTAGAGACATCTTCTCACATATAAGCTACACGAATGGGACAACCATAGACCTACTTATTTTCACAAGAGGGGGGGGAGGGAGGAAACACTGAGATCTTAAATGCCAAAAATCACTTTAAAAAATGGCAAAAATGTTCAAAAATTCCTCCAAAAATAGTTTTGAGGTCAAAAAATTGTAGGCTTGGTTCACCCCCACCAAAAAAAATGCCATTTTGGCTTAGGCTACGGGATCTGGCTTAGCCTATACAGCACAGGGGACTGGGGTCTGGCTTAGCTTATACTTAATAAGAGGGTTCGTGCCAGACCGTTGTATAATACATTGTTCTCAACACTATACTCACTTCCTCATTCCCCTCATCAGTGTCATACTACTGCTGGCCGCCTTGGGGGGGAAGTTTAGCCTCACCAGCTGGAGTCTAAACCATCACATAGATTTATTATCACCTCTATAACAGTTCCAGCGTCACTCAGCATCACCGTAAAGCCTCCTCACACGAGAGGCTCTATATACACACTCTCCAGGAATATTTAAGCCATAACTATGAACAGTTTAAAAGTGTCACATTCTGTTGAAGAACAACGGCTCCCTGATAACACCTGTGATCGTGGTATACTTTTATATATCATACAAATTCGCTGTATATAAAATTCGTATATTTTCGGAACGGTCATTCATGTGGACATGTGTTTTTGAATTGAGATAAATCATTGGTAGAATCAGCGATTCTAACAGGAATCTTCTCTATATGTCTGTATTCTTCACTTGGGAAGGAAGCTGAAAAATCTGTACCCATTCTGCCTCTGATGATGTTGACCGCGTCAAAGAAACTTTATTGACCGCTTGACGGTCCTTGAC